CTGGATACTGTTTTTTACATTGGAGATTGTATATGGATATGAAATGGTTTTATTTTATTCAACTTTTTGTTATGTTTCTGGTGGGGGATTTTGAAAGTGGATACAAAGACTAAAGCAAATTTCTAAGCCAAAAAACAAGGCAAAATGGTCACTTTCAACAATCCACTTGTTAAAAATCAAGCTAAGTGAATAAGTTACAATATTTTACATAACAATTACAACCATTTCCAGCTTTGTATAACCACTGTAAATAAACTCAAATACCAACCCCTTATGGGGCAATTACATATAAAGCAATACTAGCTTATGAATTACACTTTTATAACATAAATTATATAAATTACGTCCCAAATCTTAAATACATCACGCAACTAATCTAAACAAAATTCTAAAGAATAAAACCAACTAAACAAGGAATTAGAATGCTAAATTAAAATAGGGAAGCCATGTTTCGAACCCCTTGTTTTGGGGCCACGCAATCGGGTCCTATAAGAACTTAATTTTATCCTTTCGGATTGTACAAAAGTGGTTCAATCTCACGAACGTGTCTAATCTAAATGGGAAGAAATTACACACATTAAAATCACTTCTTAAGATCTCAACACACTAGCATTATCATCCAAAACAGAATGAAAATGGTTTAAATCGAATCGGATAAAGAACAAGAGAGTTATGACCAAACTATACATGGTAGTCCATCGGACAACCAACACAGTATTGTATGGAAAGATTATAAAACCCCATAGGTAAAAACGTGATGAAAAAGTTCTGAAAATGGAGTAACACTCTGGGGCTAAATTATTTGATGGGTTTGAAGCAAAGTAATTAATAGATACTATGCATGATCATGAATTCTCATGCATATAGGTTATAACTCATGAAGGTCCATACTCAAAACTCCAGCAACTATAGATGCCAAGGATATGATATTATGAGAAAGTAAAATTCAATGGAGTTTACTTTGATAAATACAAACTATGGACTTAAGCATAAAAAATGATGACCACCATCAATATCACCATCAATGGAACTCTAAAAGCTCGCTCTCTTCAATTTTATCGCACAAAACCTTAGAAAAAGGAGGAGATCAACAATTTTTTAAAATGGTTCAAGAGTTTAGATAGTTAGGGTTTGAGATATCATGATGTGCTTTTATAACATGGGTGTATCTTTGCATTAAATCAACACCCTTGATGCATTAATCCAAAAGCGCATAAGAAGATAATGTACCTAGCCACCCATCTCCATCCAACCACTAAGATGAAAGGATGAGATTTCACACCATTATCATTCACCTTAACCCTAAGTTATGCCACTTTACCATTTTGTTCTTGGCCCATGTTTTTGTTCCAATTGTATCCAATATGGCCTTACAAAAATACCCTTAATTTATTTTAATAATGTATTAAAGTAGAAACTACAAAGGCTAAAGGGCAAATAAGTAATTGGCAAAGCTCACACATGTGGAGATATTCTACTATATCAAAGCCAATCACTTTGTAGATCTAAAATTTAAAACCAATCAATTTAAAGATAATGTCTCTTTCACACGTGTGTGAAGATATTTTTCAACTCAAATTTGAAAATGCATTTTTCTCTTTAATATCAATTAAATAAATTAATTAAACTTCACACATGCCAAGCATGACCCATGTGTAAGTTAATTAAGACGTGTGATAAAAAGATGACCTTAATTTATAACATTATATAACAAAATATAACAATATATAACAAGACACCATAACACAACCCCTTATAAAACAAATAATTAAATGCCAATCTAATCCCATACCTAGGGATCAGTGCCCAATTGGGCGGTGATCCTAGAGTGAGGTGCGGGGTGCCACGTGGCAGCCCTATGTCTACTCGAATGCCACATGGCATTACTAGGTCAGGACTAAAGTGGAATATGAGCCAAACAATATGAAAACCCTCATTTTTCAAATAAAATTCCAAAAAATTATTTAAAATTCACAATAAATATTTAAAGTATTTTTTTAGCAATTAAAATCAGACAAAAAATATAGTGAGATATCAGGCTAATAACTATAGGTATCGGAGTCCACTATTGGGCTAGTCCCGAATGATGTTCCATCGAGTCTCAGATCGACCCAATAGACCTATGTTCCATAGTCTAAAGCAATGGCATATAATTGGGCATATCAAAGCCGCTGAGCTAGAACTTCCGATCATTCGGCTCTCAATGGATTACAGGTGTACCCCTGTGGGACATGATCTAACTCAATTACATGGGTCCTTTCAAAGCACATGTGCACCGTCTCTTCTAAACTCGGATAATGCATTTGGAAGAGTAGCTTCTCGTACGAAATGAAAGTGTACATGCCATGCAATGGTCTCGTGCCAGGATACAGACTTCTGTCCCATAAATCTTGACCATTCCATACAGGGCGAATACTCAATAAATACTCGGGTTCTATTTTTCTCATTTGGATTCTCTAAGCCCTGACTGATTGTAGCTAAACATGAGGCTAACCTATAAAATCCTGACTAGGAGGTAACTCTCACACCTCCTTGAGAAATTGCTTTCTCAACATGTGAACTCTTGATACCTCATGCGTACTCAGGCTAAAAGAATCTGAGTTCCATTTCGCAAGACGCCAATATTTCAATCTCTCAATCGCTCCCATTGAATGAGAGACTACTGGAATTTAGGCCTTGATAGGCCATATTTCCAACAGTTTTTGCTTCCTTTCGTGGTTTGCACTGATCACTGTTTCATAAAGTATTGAGCCACTCTGACCTGAGTGGCGTTTGCTACCTTTGTGGTCGCGATCCTGCACTCTGTTGCCCTCCGATTGGGAACAACAAGGGTCAGGGGGCAGAGTCGTGACAAGTATAACTGATTTCATCATGCCATACCTCTAACAGATTCAAGAACTATCTCAATTCTAATAATTATAAATTTGACTAAATTAGATCCCTTGCAAATCCCACATATTCCATATATAATATGATCTAAGAGGTCTAAGGCACCATCTACACACACACATTTTTTTGGGTCGTTTGGGGCTTAGTATATGCGGTCATGCATCAAATCTTGGGCATGCAAATTCTATTATTTGTAGAACATGGTTTAAGGATCAATATCATTTGGGTACCTTCTGGACTAACCTGGCGTTTAACAAATCCGTTGTTTGATTCATCTAAATATAAAACCTGGTTTTGGCAATATAATATTATTATACTAAAATATAATGATTCTAATATTGATGACATTGATGATATTTTTTAAAAAATGATAACTATAATAAATATTATTATATAATCATCTAAATGCAAAAGCTGGATTTCCTAAAACCTTGCATTTGGCCATTCAAAGTTTTTTTTTTGGGAACAAGAAAAGCATGAGTGGTTTTGAGGATGTGGATATCTAGGATATGATCTCAAAAACTACATCCGACCTTAGGCCATCAAAACCTAGATATACCAAAATTGGATTTGTATGTCCTAGGGTCCCAAACGACCCAAGTCTATATTTTCCAATTTCATGCCATGTCTATTTTTGGTAATTATCACATCGGGGCATTTATTCCTTATTAATAATGTAACCATCGTTTCTAGCAATGGTGTTTTCGTCAATATGAAAAAATCCCAAGGGCTTTTCCTTAGTCACCGTAGGAATAAGGGGAAATTTCAAAATAGCACTATCTTTCTCACCCTCGCTTTTTAATTTTCCCTCTTTCTCTAGGTCTTTTCTTTTTCCTCTGCGTTACTCTCTCTCTCTCTCATACTCCCTCTCTTTCTTTCAACCCCTGTCTCGTCCTCTCTCCCATGCCCTCTTTCCCTACACCTCCCTCTCCCTCTTCCTCTTCCTCTTCCTCTTCCTCTTCCTCCAAACGCCTCTTTATCTCTCTCCCTAAATCCAGTAGCCAAAAGGCTCTGGCTCTCTTTATCTCACTCCTCTGCCCTACACCTCTCTGGTGTTTTTGGAAGGTAGAACTGAAGAAGAGAGGAGAGGTTTGTTTCTAGTTGGATGGGATAGGGGAAAGGCCAAACATAATTTAGGTTAAAAAGAGAAAGTTAGATTCATCTGGGGGTGCAGATCCTTTTTGAGCTCTCATTTGCTCTTCCACAAATATGTCATGGCATTTTGAGAGCACCATGAGCACTTGAACATTCAAGAGAGAAATCAGATAAGGATCCCATGCTAATTTAATAATGATACAAACCAGTTTTCATGGCAAAGCCTCATATGATAGCCCATAGGTTCTGGATTCAACTTGTACAACCACTATTGATGAATTTGTATAGCATAATACATGTACATCTTTCACGTAAATGTTAAAAAAAAAAAGAGAGAGGGAGAAGAAGAGGAAGAAGTCCCTTTAGCATTCGTTTAAAAATCATGGATAATTATCATCTTTGGGAAGTTGAGGGAGCTTCCATCTTGAATACGCCCACTACCTGTGCCTTGGAAACCATGGGAGGCCACTTTCTTGTTATGCAGAAATTCACTGGTCTTTCGGTTCAACACAACTTCCCCAAATTCACAACCGAGAAAGACTGCCTATCTGAGATATCTGCAGACTCGATAAAGAAGTAGGTCACAGGGGGAGCAAGGGTAAAGCCCAGTTCTCAACCACGAGCTGCTGCCTGAGTTTGTGGATTAGTTTGCTTTTTGGGAGCAAAAAAATTGCGTTGACCAACTTTGCAGTTCTTCGAATGACCTCAGTCAAATGTTGAGAATTAACGAATCAGAAAACCAAAAAGAGCGACAAAGTGTTGGTGAGGTAAAAGAAGATGGTGAGAGAGAAATGTGGCTCATGTCATTTTTTAATTTGTTTGGGATGAAGATATATAATTACTGAGTTTAGAGGGTTAGTAGAAAGACTTTCATAAATTTTGATGCCTCTAAGTACATTTTAAATATGTGGGTTTACTCGGATATCATAGAGTCAATGAAGATATTTTCCCTAGGAATAATTGCCTGATCCTAATTGGCATGCTCCCCAAAAATGTCATGTATGAAATTTTGTCCTGAACCATGGGTATTTGTTCCGACATAGCAAGGTTTCAAATTGCCTGATCCTAGTTGGCATGTTCCCCAAAAATGTCATGTATGAAATTTTGTCCTGAACCATGGGTATTTGTTATGACAAGGTTTCAAATTTTATAACGGACAAAAATAAGATCCAAGGCGTTACAAGCGGGAGGACGCAAAGAAACGGCCCCGCTCCTGATGCTGCAACACTCTGAAACCTGGAAAGGAAAAACCCTAATTTTTCCTATATATTTGGCATCAGGAGCCCAAAACTAACCTTCTTTATCCCAAATCTTTGAAATTTCAAGCGTTTTCTCATTGAATTTTGATTTTCGTCTGTTGAACACAGAGTATATTGAGGTAATTTCGAGGAATTAAACTACATTGCACATTGATTTCACCTCTTTCAATATGTTATTTGAAGAGATCATTTCGTTTGGAGGTTCTTAGGAGGAAAAAAGATGAAATTTGCTTATTTAAGGAGAATATAATCATAATGTAATTCAGCTGTTGCATTTTGTTGTTGATTAGTTGATTTCTCTTTTTGTGTTGGAAATCACACGAATTGAGCGATTTATGCATAAGTACTGTCAAGAATTGGTCGAATCTTTGATGATTTTAGAGACTTATGATAAATGAGGTCTTATGACAAGTGGTTTACTCATTTGATCATTTCTAAAGCTCTACATGTCAAGGTCAATATACAGGTCTCTCATAGTTCTCACGCTCTTATTTTGTAATTCTCGAGGGACTAAAACAAGGATCCACATATTTAGTTCCTTTGGATGTTGTTATCCGTGGTTGAATTTTGTTTCTAATGTCCATGTTATTATTATTTAATTTATTCATTTCTACATTTCACTATTTATCTTAGAGTCCTGGTGGAATTACTTGTTTTAGTACTAGGTACTTTTAAATTTTGTGAGTTACAATTTTCTGCTTCTTTTATTTATATGTATTTTACTTGCATTTTTTATTTCACATACTAATGACTGAAAACTTCTTTTTGTTGCTAGTATTGTCATTATGTCTTTCATTTGCTTTTATTCTGAATTTTTCTTATTTATAGTGCTGGTTCTGAGAAGCCGGTTGCTGTCAATATTTATATGACTCAGCTCTGTATTTTCACTTCTAAATTTTCAGGGAAATAGATCCAACCAGATAAGTAGTCATTTTTGAAGAGATAAAAAATGGCTACTACTTCAGACATTGGTGTTAGTTTATCTATTAACTTTCCCACTGCTTTAGCATTTCTCATCGCATTTGCAATATTGAGACTGCAACCATTTAACGATAGAGTATACTTTCCAAAATGGTATCTCAAGGGATTAAGAAGCAGTCCAAGACACTCCGGAACGATTGTCAACAAGTTTGTCAATTTGGATTGGAAAAATTATATGAGGTTTTTAAATTGGATGCCTGCTGCCTTGAGAATGCCAGAACCTGAGCTTATTGACCATGCTGGATTGGACTCTGCTGTTTACATTCGGATTTATCTTGTTGGGTGAGTTACTTCTAACGTTATTTTTCTTATATTGTTCATTGGCTTCCCCCCCCAATAAACCCATTGTTTGGTTCTCATCAGTTTCACAACTTAGTGTTCATTTGTGCTGCTTCGTATGAATGGCTAACATACTATTTCTTAAGATTATTTTTACTGATATCAATATTAATTGTTGCCCACTTGACTATTATTATTTTTGGATTGTATATTACAAGACCATTCACATTTGGTACAAGGAGGTCACAATCACCTTTAACCATCAGATGTGAAATCCAATAGCTTAAAGTGTGTTAAATGTTTCAAGAAATTTTATTTTGGACTTTGTGCTAATTCTATAACACACCTTTAGCCACCTTATTTTATATCTAACGGTCAATAATGATTGTGACTTTCTTATACCAAAATTAAATGGTCTTACTCTACACATTCTATTGTTTTAGCTTCTTGTGTTGAATAACCTTTAAGTGAAATTAAGTGTGGTAACTGGTAATTAAACATGATAGTGGTTAATTTTTTTTCTTTAAGCGACCCAGCTCTTCTAGAATCCACTATGAAATAATATACTCTTGAATACTATTATACTTTTTGAAGATTTACAGAATATACTCTTGAATAGTATTATAAACTATTATACTTTTTGAAGATTTTCCTAAAGTTGGATCTTTTCGTTAGCAACATCTGTTGAGAAGAGTATATCTGTGTGCGTGTGATTCTTTTACGTATCTTATAAACAAGGTGACATACTTTTGGATGCTAATCATTTTTTTTCACATTTCCTAATACTTGCATTTTTTGGCAGTCTGAAGTTGTTTGTCCCGATTACACTTCTTGCCTTTTCTGTCTTAGTGCCTGTTAATTGGACTGAAGCAACACTGGAGCACCAATCACGCGATTTAACATTCAGCAAAATAGACGAACTCTCTATATCCAACATTGCTTATGGATCAAAGAGGTCAGAACATGTTCATTCATAGGCCTGCAACTATGTTTACCATTTCATTTGATGATTCTCTTCATCTTTTGCTCTTTCTGGAATTTTACTCAGAAATTTTCATGAGGTCAAATTTAGCATGTATGTTTCTTCTGAAACTTTAAGGTTATCAAGATTTACCAAAGAGTAAGAGGAAGGAATACGATGAGTTAAAAAGTGCATGTGTGCATTATAGTGTATTGAGGGGCAGTATTTTCCATTATATATTCTTGATCTTTTTTAATTATTCTTCTTCTTTTGGCTCTACTGGACAGTACTTATCTTTTTTTCATTATATTTATTTGGGTTTTTTCCCTAATCTCATCATGAACTTGCATTCTCAGGATGATGTGTGCAATGTTGTACTTTTAAGTAAGGGAAAATTTTATATAGAGCCGAGGCTCTAAACAATCAAATTAGAGCCTACCTCAAAAATTTCACTAGAAGAGGTTGTTTTGATGCCCATCTATCCTCAAATTGATCATCTCGACATCAAGATGCATGAACATGAGAAAAAAATAAATTTCAAGTTTTGGAAATAGTGTATTTTGTAATGTATTTTTGGACCGTCAATTTTTGAGATTTTCAAGTTTTCATAGATCGGTTGATCGACACTAATTTTGAAGCATTAAACTTTATAAATAAAGATAAAAATATATTTTCAGGCTATCACAAAGATTTCCAATATTGAAACCACATTCTTCGACACCATTTGAGGGTAGGCTCTAATTTGATTGTTTAGAGCTAGCCTCTATACAAACCGCACTCAGTAAGTAAACCAAGAGGAAGGTGAATAAGAGTCAATGTTTTTCTATGTAAGCACTCCTCATGTTTTCTTATCTTATGTTGCATGTCCATTTTCCGTGTCAGATTTGGTTTCCAAAACCATGTAGAATCCTGAGACTATGTATTAACTTGTCTGCATTTCTTTTTTTGTAGCAGACACCGCAGAAAAACACCTATTCACACATTTTGCAGCCATTTTGCCTCACCATAAATATAGAGCTCCGTTTTCACTAAGATTGGCAATTTTTGAATTTCCCAACCTCCTTGTCTGCAAAAATTATGTTTCTAGCAAGTATGACAGAAGACAACCTGTTAAAGTATATTTGCATTCTTGCACTCATTTCATTTTGCATACTTAGAGAGCTTTGTTTACACCAACTTTTGGCAATTATGAATGTCCCAACGTACACAATATTTGAAGAAGTGAAAATTTTCTTCGATATGTCCTCAAGTATCTATGGTTTCATAAATTTGAGTACTTGCACCTTCCTTGCTCTGTTTTTAGGTCATTGTTGTCTCTTGGGTATATTTGGGACCAAAACAAATGCTTTTGAGAAAAAAAGAAAACATTGAACAATTGCACTTTTGGCAAGAAGAAAAAACACTACCAATTGGAAATTTTCAGCATCAATTTAAGATTTTTCAATTTCATTTTTGCAGATTTTGGACTCACATGACAATGGCATATGTCTTTACATTTTGGGCATGCCATGTTCTTTATAAAGAATATGAGATTGTAGCATCAATGAGGTTGCACTTTCTTGCATCTGAAGGCCGCCGTCCAGATCAATTTACGGTGAGTCTATATACAGTTTTCATGTATATTCAGGAATACTTTCCATATTCAGGAATGCTTTCCATGATAAGCACGTAGCTCCCACTCAGTGGTAAATTATTATGCTTAATAAGAGAATCTGGACTAATAATGTCCATAATTGAGAATGATTTTTTTCTCTGTGCACAACATTTTTTGGTATTTTCATGTCTATGCAGGTCCTCTTTTGGTTGTATTAATACAGTATATGCTTGCAGGTGCTTGTAAGAAATGTTCCTCTGGATCCTGATGAATCTGTCAGTGAGCATGTTGAGCATTTCTTTTGTGTCAATCATCCTGACCACTACCTCACCCATCAGGTTTGAGACTTAGGAACAGTTCAAAGTTTTTAAGTAGGTTGGCATTGTTCTATTGAGCTTATCTGTCTTGACGGTGATGAATGTGGAGAGTCAATTTAAAGAGTGCAGAACATTACTTCACTACTTTCTTTCGCCATTTTGTTGTTAACGTCTAAAATGAGGTCTAATTTCTATTAATATCAGGTAGTCTTAACTATTTTGGATTCTAAAATTTTTATGTTGCAGTTTACATACAGATTTGCAGAATCCATTGAATACAGGAAAAGGCTTGGTTTTAATTATCTAAGAATACAATATTTTCTCAATGGTTTGGAGTACATTATCATTCAACAAATTGGCTTGGACTATTTGTTTTAGCAGCTAGTTGTATGCTAATTTAGTTGTCGTTGGGAATATTAGGGGCTAGATGCAAAGTAAGGTATTACAAGAGAGTCACTGTGAACTGGATGAATGATTAATTGTTTGTCTTGCACTTCAAAAGAAACTCAGTCTAAGATTTGTAGATTTTTTAATCTAAACTCAAAAGCAGAGAGAAATTTGGAGATGAGACAAAATTCAAATTGAATATTGAATATTGGAAATTTGGTGATAACACAAAATTCAAATTGAATATTGGAAGTGGTCATACTTGAGGATAACTTCCAAATATCCCCTCTAAAATGTTTTTGTTGTGAAATAACAAAAACATTTATTGAACTACTAAAAATCCCCTGAACAGTTAGTGAATATTTTGATCACAACCCATATATTTCTTCAATTTGCCATTTTTCCTCCACAAATACCTTCAATGTAAACGGATGTTGATAATTCAATTTGCTTTTTTCTTTCCCAATAAATTTTCTGTACATAGCTGGGATTGCCACAAATCACCTTTGAGACCCTCTCGTTTCACTCACTTCTCTGCTTGACTAGAAGCCCAAAAAAGATTTAGCTAGTCATTTTGATGCCAACTTTGGTTGGCAACCATAAGAGCATATACTAAGATCAAATATTTATTTGAAAATGCCTCTGGGGCCTGTATGTTATATTTCTTTTTCTTAACCAGATCAGAAATTAGTCATTAAAAAAAGAAAAGAACTTTTGTGTGCTTCCAAAAGCAACCTGGAATAATCTAAGTTATCCCTATAATTTTCTAAATCTCCAAATTAAGAAATTTCTCCTGAAATTGTTAAACACCTACTTCTGTGTAGTCCATAATCCCTTGCCTGCTTTACTTTCTTGTGGTTGTGCAAATTTCCTACTTACACCTCTAAGAATTTCAGAGTTAGTTATACATGATAGTAATTTGACCATAGATGTGCTATGAAACCGATGACTTGTCACATGCAACTTGTAGGTGTGCATGTGTAGCAGGTGATCCAAAGTCCCTAGATGCAGTACAAGAAAAGTCCTAATTGATCAAAGTAGTTATTTCATTTCTAATTTTCAAGTATTAGATATGGAACAATCACAATATACATATGCTTTGATGGAAAACATGGCAGTCTATCAGCTAAGAACACCCGTTGTTGTTTAACCACTGTGATGGGCCCTAGTTCACCAAATTAGTGGAGCAATCATTGTAATGGCAATGCATATCAGTCATCACTTATCAGAAAGACACCACCAAGAAATTTTCTTGAATTAGGTTTTCTTTTTTCTGCAATCATTGTCTTGACCACTTCAATATATTGCTCGTTAAACTTGTTCTTTCATTTCTCCTTTTGATGGTCTGTATGTGTTGAGACATTGACTGCAGATGTCTAGTGTTAGGATAACATTCTCATTCTGATTTCAGGAATGTGTATCTTGAATAGTTTGTAGAAAAATTAGGTCTCAATATTTCATTTTTTTGTTAAATTTCATCTAGTTAACTCAGTGATTGATGTGCAGGTCACATACAATGCAAACAAACTTGCTAAAATAGTGAAGAAAAAGAAAAGTTTACAGAATTGGCTCATCTATAACCAAAACAAATATGCTAGAAATCCCAGCAGGCGGCCTACTAGAAAGGTTTTTTTCACTTTTATAATGCACAAACTTGTGTTTTTACTTTCTAACTTTATATATTTCTTTGTGGACTATGTACCTCCTCTCTAGTAATCCTAATTGCTTTGAGGCTGTCCTTTCATCTGTATTATCAATGCTACCACACCTAATTAGCTAATTGGATTGTATTCTGTCTTTAAAATAGATAGGATTTTTAGGGCTTTGGGGAGGGAGTGTGGATTCTATCGACTTCTATACTTCTGAGATCGATAAGTTGGCGAAGGAAGTGAGTATTCTCTCATCTGCCGCATTGAATTTTCTTTTTGCAATTCTATTTCTCTTTTTCTGTTAAGAAGGAAGCAAGTATCACTTCATCTGCCTCATTTAGAAGTTTTAATAGTACGTTCAGTTGTTACCTTAAGTTCTCTTTTTCTGTGAAGTGGGAAGCGAGTATTTCTTCATCCACCGCATTTCTTTTTTTTCTGTTTTTTTTTTTTCTTGTCTTTTTTTGTTGTTTGTACTGCATCTTCATTTATCTCAATGGGATATTAAAAGTGTGGTGTTCCATTTTAATAGTCCACATGCAGTTGTTACCATAGTTTGAGTAACATGTTTTACCTGAATGTATTTTTTTTGGTCTTTTTTTTTCTGTGTGATCCAAAAAATGTGGCTACTGTTCAGTGTAATTAAGGACATGGTTTCTTGGAATGTTATATTAGGATTTCAAGATAAGAATGAGTTTGGTAGCCCTCAATCTTCTGACATTGATATTAACATGATGTCTAGCCCACAATTTTTTTTTGATGGAGATATTGGATGTCTAGCCCACACTTTTTTTTTTGATGGAGATATTGGTCTAAAACCTGAATTAGAAGTATCCTATCTTCCCACGAACTACTAAAACAAAGGTTTTTCATACTCCGTAATGATATTCATGGGGACTATTTGCTTTAAACTTTTGATGGCTTGGTACTGCAAATTTCTTATTGTGACTTTCATTCTCACAACATAATTCTTTATATCTATGTTAACACTAAATACTATATGATGAGGCAGATGGTAATACTTACTGAAGGACTGTTATTAAGACTTAAACAGGACAATGCCATAAAATAGGCGAAAAAATTTATTTTAGAAAATTTATTTTTATTTATGGTGTACTTTTTCCTTTTTATTTCTTTAATTGGTGGGCTCCTGAAATGACTATATTCCAGGAAGAAATTGAGCGGGAAAGGGTTATAAGTGATCCTAAGGCAATAATGCCTGCAGCATTTGTTTCATTTAGGACTCGATGGGCAGCAGCGGTTTGTGCACAAACTCAGCAATCAAGAAATCCAACATTATGGCTAACTGAGTGGGCTCCCGAACCTCGTGATGTTTACTGGCATAATCTTGCAATTCCATTTGTTAGTCTCACAATTCGAAGGCTGATTATCGGTGTGACACTTTTTTTTCTCATTTTCTTCTATATAATTCCCATCACATTTGTGCAATCCCTTGCAAATATTGAGGCCATTGAGAAGGCTGTTCCTTTCTTGAAGCCTTTGATTGAGAGGTGAGTCTTCTTCCTCCATATTGATTTGTTTATGTGTTTGTACTATTGTGTAGCATCAATATTTACAAAATCTTTACATCTATTATGGATCATTATGTTTGATACTCGGGCTCATGTTTTTGTTCTCTTAATATTTTATCGTTGAGTTTGTTTTGATGTACTGTGAACCAACAAAAGAGAATTAGTACATATGTGAGATTTATGAATATTAAAGTCTTGCAGACCATGGATTTTAGTTTCAATACCTCTCATTGCATGGTGAACCCCATTAATAAATGGGGAGATTAGACACTATCTCCCAACATCAATCCATTCCTGTAATAGTTTTGTCATGGGACTCCTTGTTTTCTAGTTGCATAGCCTTTTAGGAACTCTTCACTACTGCTGGCAACATTTGATAAGCATGAAAGCTTTTTGAATACTGTTGCATTGCCTTTAGGAACTCTTTAATACAGTTGGCAGCGTTTAATGAGCATGAAATCCTTTCGAATAGCATAAACCTTAAGTTTCTTTGTTGATCTTGAGGAAGAGTTTTAATTTAATAAAAGATCCTTCAGTTAGTAGCATAGGCTGCAAGTTTGACATTTGAGGTAGTTCTTGCTGGATGTCCTTGTTGTCAATTTGGTGTACTGCATTTACATGTATTTTCTATTTTCCATGATTTTTGTTTTATCCCTTTACTCTCTCATGTTGTGTTGTTCTTCTTGTGTGTTCCTAACTTTTTGATACGTTTGGACATTCACCTCTTACTTGCTTGAGGCTAATTACCTATTCTAGGTAGTTTACATCATAGTTCCGGATGGCAGGAGAATTAAATGATAACAAATAACAATATGCACTTTTGTGCTTGGAACATGGTCACAAAAGGGAGGAAATATGATGCTACTCATGTGGATACTTTTTATTTTTGTAATATCAATTGTATGTTGCTGTTGAAATTGATGTTTGTTTCCACCATTGTTTCTATTCTTTTGGTGTGATTGGAAAACAAACCATACACTTGAAACTGAAGGATCTTTTTCACTGACCAGTTCTAATGTGCATTTATGTTTATGCAGAAAGGGTGTGAAGTCATTCATTCAGGGTTATCTTCCTGGGCTTGCTTTAAAGATATTCCTTATCATTCTGCCAACAATACTCATGGCTATGTCGAAGATTGAAGGTCATATAGCACACTCAGTTTTAGAGAGGAGATCAGCAGCAAAATATTATCTTTTTATACTAGTTAGTGTATTTTTTGGAAATGTACTTGCTGGGACGGCATTTGAGCAACTTAAAATGTTTATGCATCAATCTCCAGATCAGTTAAGTTTCTCCCTTTACTTCATTCTATATACCATGCTACCGTTTATCTCTTGTTCATGTCTAAATGTGTTATTTTAGAGGATTCCTAGATTTGTTTCCACAGTTGTGTCGGTCAATGTATTCAAGTAATTGGCACAACAGTGAAGCTGTAATTCTTGGATGTGTTAAATTCTTTTAGCACAGAGACAACATTTGTGAATGCTGTTTCAAATCTGAACTTCTATCTAAAGTAGTTGATGTTCTAGTGTTCCACTCAAAATTTCTATTAAGAACAAGTTTCCAATAGAGAAATATTATCTGTGTTGATTGCATCTATTCTTATTGGGACAAATTCTGTATTGTCAAATCAAACATTTGTGCTGAAAGGCCTCCAATGGGTCAGTTCATTATTTATGTGATTCTCACCTTGAGCTTCGAGTAATTTTGCAGGATCCCAAAAACAATTGGTGTCTCCATTCCCATGAAAGCAACATTTTTCATAACATATATTTTGGTTGATGGTTGGTCTGGAGTTGCTGCAGAGGTCCTCAGATTGAAACCTCTGATAATGTATCATTTGAAGAATGCACTTTTAGTGAAGACAGAAAAGGATAGGGAAGATGCAATGAATCCTGGAAGCTTGGGTTTTGCTTCATCTGAACCTCAATTGCAGTTGTATTTCTTGCTTGGTCTTGTATATGCTGTGGTGACGCCCATTCTTCTTCCTTTTATTGTTGTCTTCTTTGGCCTGGCATATATGGTTTACCGACATCAGGTATGGTTATTACTGCCATGCTTAATGTAAAATTTCTAGGTTATTCATTCGACTTCCCAAAATACTTATACCTATGATGGTCTCTTATGCTTTGGCATACTGGTAGACACCCTGGTTTGGTTGAGAGAGGTTAATGGTTCAAATCCTTGGACCTACTGACCTGCGCTTTTCTTTATTTATCTATATAATGCTTTTCCATGGTAATGTCTTTTGGAGATCTTGAAGACTTAAGAGTATTTTTTTTTTGTCGATTGCATAGGTAACATGCTTTTTTTGTTTCCCACATAATTTGCTTTCTCTGTAGGATCTTTTTGGTCATCCTGTAGTTGTTTTTAATTCTTGAGTCCAGTTATTTAAAGTGAGAATCATAGCCTAGTCTTTGGAGTTCGTACTTTGGCGTTCTTTGGAAATCTATTGGCTCTATGCATTTATATTCTTGCCCATTATGGTTTTATATGTCTATATAATAGGATTTTTTTTTGTTTTTTTAGATCTCCTTAAAATGATTCTTTGTTTCATGGCCCAGATCATAAATGTTTACAATCAAGAGTATGAAAGTGCAGCATCATTTTGGCCGGATGTACATGGCCGTATAGTCACTGCTATGGTTATATCACAACTTGTACTCATGGGATTGGTGAGCACAAGAGGTGCAGCTCAATCAACAACAGTGCTCATTCCTCTTCCCATACTAACCATATGGTTCCATTTGGTGTGTAAAAGCCGGTTTGAATCTGCGTTTGTCAAATTTCCTTTACAGGTGAAATTCTATGCCTTTTTTTATTTTATTGATAATGGCTCTTGTTATAGATACCTTGTGAAAACAGGACATTTATCTCTTAGCTAATAATGTTATTATTCTTAATTGTAGGATAAATAAAGTATCATATAGTTATGTGCAGCGTTTATATCTCCTTTTGCCCTTCCATTATTGAATGCTCATCACCTTTCCACATCATTTTTTAAGTACAGTTACTTGTTGCATTCGATTTTTTTCATAAACTTACAGCGGATTTTGTGATTCAATTCTGGGGCAGCCATGTGATTTGAGTTATGAAACTTTTGGCTGTCATTATCTTTTTGGTTATAACTATCTTGAATGGGACTTATTTCTTGCAACCATGAGATCCAAAGAGCACTTTCTAATAATTCTCTTAGAGATTTATTTCCCAGTCAGCTCATTCCTTTTTCTGATCACAGGAAGCAATGATGAAAGACACTTTGGAGAGGGCTACTGAACCAAATCTGAATCTTAAAGTCTATCTACAAGATGCATATATCCATCCGGTTTTTAAGGGTGGAAATGGTCACCACCAGCCAAAACCAGGGTTTGAGGAGGAGACTAACCCACTCGTACCAACAAAGCGACACTCTCAATTGAGCACTCCGGCACTAAGCAAGCATGGTTCAAACTCAATTTCATCATCTTCTGATACTAATGTGTAAGAAACTGCAAGTTTTACAAAACTTATTGACCGACACCCCCCTATTCTAATGCATTTGTTAACTCTAATGTGCCTCTTGGGTTTGGGTTTATATATTGTAAATGCTTGGATGCATGACATTTTTTTGAAGAAGCCACCTTCTTCCAATACCAATGTGTGAAACTTGAAATTTACAAACCATTGACCCCCCCCCCCCTTCCATTCTAATGAATCTGTTAACATTGGCATACCTCTTGGGTTTTTGGTTTATTTATATATAGTATATGTTTGGAAACATGATACTTTTTGTTGAGGAGAGTCTTTTTTATCATCTGGTAAGGCAACTTGCAATAGTAAAATGAAATGCGGTGGTGAGGAAATGGATGGGATGAACATTTCATCATTGCTTTTAAATTTTATGATACTTTTAATTATTTTTTCCCTGCATTCATGTTAGCCTTGCAACAAAAGTAATAGATGGGGAAATTGGTATTATGGTCTTTTATTTAACTAATTGGATATTTAATTTTTTTGTAAATAATCAGTCTGAAATTCAACAGGTTATTCTGAGGATGAAACCTTCGTTATCTATCTCAATTTAGAGAGAGCTCAATTACATTGAGGATGTCCATTTTAAGAACAAAATTAGTTGAAATTCAAATATCAGCCACCAATTCTAATTATTGTTAGATGTATTAGAATCATGGTTTGTTGGATATGTGAAAATGTCTTCTTTAACTTTAATCAATGAATTCAATATTTTCTCTAAAGCAAATGTTGCATATGTTTTTCCTTATGAACTAGTAAACAAAGGGTCCAAATTGTTCATTTAGACCTGTGACTAAGATTTATATTCTGTGGACTTAAAAATCATCTTAAAACAAGTTTGATCCATATCTAGATGAATTGGAAAAAAAATTGATTTCCTTTCAAGCATTATTTGAGCTCCAAATCTTTCTTACTTTTTTATTAAATTGGTATTAGAGTATATCAAATTTGAGAGGTTTCAGGGTCCCACTAATCCTTCTAGTTGAGGATTTAACGTCGGATCCAAATTTTGTAGCCCCAAATTGTAGGCCCCAAAATCTTTTTTAATGAACAAATGCCTAGAGAAGCCCTTTCTTTTTCGCCAAAAAGAAAGAAAATAGAGGTTTCCTTTTAAAGTTTCAACCGTAATGAACCTCTTCCGTTTTTGAAGATTTCATGCAGGCATTCGTATTTCTTCTCGTGATATTTTCAAATTTTTTGGTAGTTTAGTGGTAGGAATCGAACTTGAGACATAGCATTAATATCACACAACTAACCAATGAAGCCCATACTCAATCTCTAATATTATCAAGTTTTTTTCTTTCCTGTGAGTTCTTATAACCTTCCAGAGAAGTACAAACAAATTAGCTTTCTCAAACACTGGTTTGGAGCTCTTAAAAATGCAAGCTCCAAAATTATGGTTTGGAGTCCTTAAGTCTTCACTCCAAGTTCAAATTTTTAGTTCTCTTTCTTTATTCTAACTTATAAAATGAATGAAGGCATAATCATAAAGTCAATAGTCTGAATAATTTGGTTCCTAGCTCACCTAACATTCTTGCCGTTACCTAACATTCTTGCTGTTACCTAACATTCAAGAGTTAGGGTTTAGTCCTTTCAGATTTCTTAATCAAGCCTTCCAATTTCACAATGGAACACTGATTAATGTCTTAGAAAGCCTCACAAGCCTAACAATGAAGAGAAATGCAGAAATAAAAACATATTGAAAGATTATATGCTCCCGAGGGAGCAAAATGTAAACGTGAGCCTGGAGTGCATTAGGACCCCAAATCTTGTTACTGTTGATGACTTGACCTAACAATGAGATCTGACCTTCCAAAGTTGAATGCTTTGTTCAATCTTAACACGTTTGTTTTCATATACATACACGGGCCTTGACTTTTTTTATTTTCATTCTTTGAGGCTGGTTAGTAGGTTCAAAATGTTATAAGAGTTTGCCCTGGAATGACAGCAGAAGAAATGCTTGAAACAAATATGGGGGTGGCAAATGGACCCGGAGCGAACATCCAGATCTAACCTGCTTCCATATATGGGTCCAAGAATTGGACCTGACGGGTCGGGTCTAAGTCCAAATATTGGACCCGAACACTATTCAGAATATGGGCCCGACTCGAATATTGTTATTATATCCATAAGGGAAAAGTTTATATAGAGCTGAGGCTCTAAACAATAAAATTGGAGCCTACCACAAAAAATTACTAGAAGATGCTGTTTTGTTGCCCAAATATCCTCAAATTGATCATCTCGACATCGAGATGTATGGAGTATGGATATTAGAAAAAAATAGATTTCAAGTTTTGAAAATAATGTATTTGTAGCACATTTTTTTACCGTCAATTTTCAAGATTTTCAAGTTTTTTATAGATCTTTCGATCTACTCTATTTTTTAAGCTTTAAACTTTATAATAAAGATGAAAATATATTTTATGGCTATCACAATGATTTATAGTACTGAAACCACGTTTCTTGATACTATTTGAAAGTAGGCTCTAATTTGATCGTTTAGAGCCTAGGTTCTATAGAAACCACACCTTATACATAATATTTAATATATAATATTTGAAGGGTACCGTTTGTATAGAGCCTAGGATCTAAACAATCAAATTAGAGCCTATCTTCAAATAGTGTCGAGAAATATGGTTTCAATAACGAAAATCTTTTTGATAGCCTTAAAATATATTTTCATCTTTATTTATAAAGTTTAAAGCTTCAAAAATAATGTAGATTGAGAGATCTATGAAAACTTGAAAAATCTTGAAATTTGACGGTCCAAAAGTGCGTTACAAAATACACTATTTCCAAAACTTGAAATCCATTTTTTTATCATGTCCATACATCTTGATATCGGGATGATGAATTTGAAGATATTTGAGCTAATAATATATGTTTAGTTGTAATATTTAAATAGTACATGTTATTTTTAACATAACATTTAAATATCCAAATATATGCTTTTTAAATTTTTCGGTCAAGTCCAATTGGGTCCGGGTCCAATCGGATCCGGGTCCTAGTCCGATAACTTTGAGTCAGGTCCGGGTCCCATATTGTTTTTCGGATCCGGGTCAGGTCTGGCCGGAACTGTTGCCGCCCCTAAATGAACAATCTTTTAACAAAATTAAAAGCTAGTATAGCGTACTCCTGTCAATGCACATTGTATACTTACTCTCTAGAGTGACAGAACTACTTAGTAGAATTTTATTAGTGTAATTTTAGCATCCACCTAAAATAAATCAACTAGTTATTTTTAAAATAAAAGAGTTTGGATTTGAATTTTTCAAACGCTTAGGTTCATGTTGTCGAAAAATTAGATAAACTCTCTTAAATCTTGTAACCTTCTCTCGTGCACATTCTACAATGTTTTCCAAGGTATATTTTACCATCCAACTACATATCGTACCGGTTTATATAAAGTTACAACCTTATTTGTAAAAGTAAAGTTGCAATATTCTATACCATCTATTTTAATTAGACAACGTAGATTTAATGTCTTTTAATACAATACCAAAATATAAAGAAAAATTGTTTCATGTGAGCTGAACCACATTTCTACAATATGCGGTCTAGAGGTATAAAGCATCCATCTTTAAGATTGATATACATAGATCCATCTAAAAACAAATGTAACTAGCGGTTCAAATGTTTTATTGATATAATTATTATTTCTAGTTTTTATTTTTATTTTTATTTTTTATATTCATGATCTCCATGTTAAAGATTATATATTCTCTAAAACTTCGGGTCAAATTATATTTTAAAAAATATTTATTGCTAAGCCCGCGTTTCTACAATATGCAGGCTGGCTGTACAGAAACCATGTCCCTGTAACATCATTAAAAATAGTGTAGCTTTATACTGTTCAAATAAAATAGATGGTATGCCCAAATAAAATGGACGGTATATATTATTTTTATGGGAAAAATAGCATGAGACTATTTACCTTTGGTATTAATCTTGACCATTGGATGTGAAATTGGGTTGCTACAATTATTCCATTGACCAAGTTCAAACTTCAAAATAAATTTTTTGGAACTTTGTGATATATCCAAACTATCAAACTTCACATGAGATGACTAGAAGTAATTGTGAACACCTTATATAAAAGGTAAATAGTCTCATTGTATATAATCACTTACTTTATTTTAACCTTACTTCTACCAATAAAGTTACAACCTTATATAGATGCTTTCCATAATAAGGTTGTAAAACTACATATCTTCTAAAGGTAAAATCGATGTGCCCTCTGAATTTGGGTTGAAAATACATGGATTTGGTTTTACCTTAAAATATGGATAAAACGGTCCCGCAGGAGTACACAACCTGGTGACCGCAGTAAATACCAGATGTTAGAGAGCATGTTTTTGAGAAAAAAAAGCGCAAGAAAGTGTGAGGATACGATGTTATTGACATTAAGAGCATGTATACTGTGCTCCCACGAGAGCATATATTGTAAAGTTGCTCTCTCTAATAGAAGACTAATTTGGAATGACTATCTTGATCCGAAAATTTGAGAATAATTTAAAGAGAAAATTATGTATATATCCATTATACTTTTCGTTATTACAAAATACCAAATACTTTCCGTTATTATTGAAATGTCTGTTTTTTTTCACGTCATAATTAAATTTTTTTAAAAATATGTTTTTACGCTTTTTCGGTTGTTGAACAACTGAAAATAACCCGGATAGTTTTATGGTTCATCTTATCTGCTCTCTACGTCCATGCTATGTGAAGACTTAAAAAAGAGAGTTTTACCCATTTTCGATTGTTCAACAACCGAAATTAGGGCTACGTTTTCCAGAAGCTTGTTGGAATACGTAGTCCTAATTTCGGTTGTTCAACATCCGAAATTAAGGCATTTTTTGTTGTTCAACATCTGAAAATATCTTGTTTTCGGTTATTGAACAATCGAAAATGACAATTCAAATTTTTAACCTCATGTTTATTTTTGGTTGTTCAAGAACCGAAAACAAGACATTTTCAACATCCGAAAATATCTTTTTTTCGGTTGTTCAACCACCTAAATTAGGACTGCGTTTTCCATAAGCTTGCTGGAATACGCAGTCCTAATTTCGGTTGTTCAACATCCGAACTTAAGACATTTTCGGTTGTTCAACGTTCGAAAATGTATTGTTTTCAGTTATTGAACAACCGAAAATAACAATTCAAATTTTTAACCAAATGTATATTTTTAGTTGTTCAAGAACCGAAATCAATATATTTTCGGATGTTGAGCAACCGAAAATGTCCTATTTTCGATTGTTCAACAATCAAAATTAAGGCTGTGTTTTCCAAAAGCTTGTTCAACATCCGAAATTAAGACCATTTCGATTGTTCAAAAACCGAAAATGGGTAAAACTCTATTTTTTAAGAATTCACATAGTAAATAGGTAGAAAGCAGAGAAGATGGACAATAAAACTATCGGGGCCATTTTCAATTGTTGAACAATCGAAATTCCAGTCATTTTGGTTGTTGAACAACTGAAAAATGGTAAAAATGTCTTTTCAAAAAAATTTAGTTATAAAGTAAAAAAACAGGTATTCTCGTAATAGTAATAACGAAAAGTATTTGGTATTTTAGTAATAACGAAAAGTATAATGGATATATATGTAATTTTTCCTAATTTAAAACACTAAACGAATATATCTAAACAAAAAAAAAGAAAGGAAATAGTTTGATAGGCCTATCAAAGTAAGTAATTTCTCACCTCATAACTCATCGAAAATTGCAATTCAAGTATTGAAAAACCTTTATATCGATTATCTCGGCTTGAGATTATGGTTGTTAAAAAAAAGGATTTAAAGCTCTAAAAATAGTGTAGATTTTTAACAAATTGTCTAGACCGTCCATTTCATCTTGAAACGAAGTTTTCAAAGGTATGCAATGTTTGTATGATTTTTTGAGTTTCAAATTTTATTGTCGGTATTGAAAATTGATTTTATAGCCATTATAGAGATTTATGTTACCGAATGTGCTATCCAAATGAGAATTTGAGGTGAGGCTTTAGTTGGTTTTTATAAAACCTATGCTTTATGGAAAAAGTTTATATAAGTATGCTACCTTATAATGTAGAACTACGGATACCCCTAAAAAATCCATTGGAAAAGGTAGTTTTAATGTTGAAAAACCCTTTGATTGATTATCTCGACATCGAGATGTATGACTATGAAAAATGAAAAGATTTTAAGTCTCAAAAATAGTGCATTTTACAACATATTAT